CACACGCACACGCACACGCACACGCACACGCACACGCACACGCACATGAATTACTGCTGAGTTAGAGTTACTGCTGATTATATTGTTGAAAATCTGTAATATAGAGGAGAGCCCTCTATTATCAGATAAGAGGAGATCTAATATAAAATAGCACTGCGTTTCTATTAAACTAATAAACGCTACTCTCTAAATTTAAATCAGTGAATAGTCACTAATTACCCAGTGGCATACTTAGCACTGGATAATTAATGAAGTTCAACTAAAAAAGGAAGAATGTTTGAGTATTATATAATTAAAATACTGATATTTGCACATTGATTTCAATCTTCCAATACCATATTTATAGAATTTATGCACTAAAACGTTAATTGGATCATATAATAAAAATTTGCTAGGTTAAAGATTTCACATTTCATTCACTGATTACCAGTGGCATATTTGGCACTGATATCAGTGATTATCCACTGATTTAGAGAATATCTATTGATTCCATCATGAATTGATTGGTCTTGGATTGAAAACTATTTAGTGGGAAATCCATTATTAGATCATGCTTGTAGTCGTTGTAAAAAAAATTTTAGAATTTTAATGTCTTCAAGTTTTATTGAAATGAGCCTTTAAACCTTATTTATTATTTAATAAATAAATATTTTACAATAAATTCTTCATGTAGTGATAGAGTAAGATCGTACTAATAGACAAATACGGAATATGTTGAATTACTTAATTATATAAGTTAGATTTGATGATCATAAAACCTTAAGACGTAGAAATCATAATATCAGATACCCAGAGTATTTTTAATATGAAACAATCTATGCTTTTATGTCATAGTGAAAATTGTTGCTAAAGTATAAATGTTATTATACAATAATAATAAAGACAAAATGGGAATGAACATCAAATGCTTGTTTCTGCGATACTTGGTTCCAACTACCTGAAGACGAGTCCCAGGTATAGTGCATCACATGCTCATTTTGCACACATTGACGGTGTCTGTTTGTATTTTAGAAATATTACATAAAGTTTTTTAATTGCAATACTGATGTACTTTATTATCAATTTTTCGGGGCACCTCATATTAAGAGCACAATTTTTTGACTTTGCGATTCGCTCACTTTTTACATTTTTTTAATTAAAAAAAAATATATAATTTGAATTAAATTTGATATAACATTATCTTAAAGCTTATTGAATTCTCTTCAAAATGACCTGTTATTTTTTTAAATTCTACTTATAGACTTCTAGCATTTATTCAAAATGAACTGGGTATCTCTTAGGATATAATACTTAGAGGCCTTTCCTTTATAAGTAACATAAATCTTAGAAATAAATATTTGGAATGCATTCTTAATAACAATATTAATGTTTCAAGACAATGTTTAATGAACATTTTAAGTAAAATCCGTATTCGTAAATTACAACCTAATTTCATAAAAATAAGCATATATTAAAAAGTTAAAATATAAACATAGGATAATACCGCCGCACTTATCAAAAATTTAACGATATTGTGACACGGGAACAAAACTCTAGTTTTTCTTCTTTTTATTCGTATAGTGCAATGAACAACTAATTGTTAATTTTATTTTACTATGAGCGGTTGCGATTGCTACCTTATTGTAAAAAAAGTTTTTGTACTCGCTAACACTACATTTATCGTTTGACTTGCGTTTTTAATTATAATGTTTTAACTTATTCATTTTTATTGTACTGAAGATGGTCAAATCTTGACCGAAACGACTACTTATTTGTTGTGAATTTGTTTCAAATAATATATAACTTGTTTACATCCTTAGTCGTGGCTGTATGCTCTTTATTATTTAACCTTTGTAATTTTCTAAGCCACTTTCTAACAATTGAAAAATTTAATTTATTAAATATTATTTATTACTATGTTTATAATAAACGAACTATCAGTGAAAACTTTATACTGTCTACTACTATAAAGAAAGTATTAGAAATCCAAAGTATTTACTTTTCATATTAAAAAATAAATATTAGTTGTAATTAGGCTCATTACAGATGAATCAGTCCATAAGTTGATGCCTTTTGGAGCCAAACACAGGATGTCGATGCATAATAAGATTTATTAGTTCCAATGTCTTATACATACGTTTCGATTCAGCTTTGGATCCTTTTCAATGCAAATTGAACGAACTCATTGAGTTTCCCGACGTACTGTACAAATATAATCGATATCTCATTGTTAACATAATTATAAAAATACGTGGATCAAACAAGAAGAACTCTCAAAACCAGAATTAGCAAACATAGAAACCATATCAATACATACCATACGAAATACAGACTAAAGATCAGTTATCTATAATATATTAATAGTAAGAAACTGAAATTATTAACACAATACTAATATAACATAAAAACATGTAACAGAGTAGTTGCGAGAAAATTATTCCCATTCCTTCTATTTTTTCTGACTTCTGTAGCGTAAATTCCAGTGCGGCATATTTGCTGGAGTTACCTTAAAGGATTATATAGATCAACTTATTAAATAAGTTTAATATAAAGAAAAACTTGATGCTATATACAGACTAGCTTAAAATTTTAAGTTTTAATATTAATTGTTACATTTAATACTAATTACGAAATAATGTAATTTTTAAATCTAATATCTTATTTTAACATTACAAAAAAATGATGAAAAAATAACGAGTCATTACTTTCTAAATAAAGATAATGATAACGTATTATTATCGTGAAGTAACGTTTCCAATTCTAGTTTTACCAGACTTTAGTATAAATAAAATTATATGAAGTTATATACATCAAATATACTGCAATTAAGCTTCAAAACTTTCCTCAAGATATGAAAGAATCAAATCTTAGTCAGTATTTTACAAAATTTTAATAATTAATTCCATTAATTATATAAGAAGTAAACATAAGAAAAAAAAAGAATCGATATTCAATAAAATTTACTATATCATATAGAATTTGTACGTTTCGGCTCCGGGTTTAAGCCTTCCTCAGCAAAATTACAAACAATAATATAACTTAAAATTTATTAGATGATTAGACCAAATAAAACTGAAAATATAATAGATGAATCATCTACTGATTCAACTCTATTGATTTGCGCACTGTCTCCCGCGCTGACTTCTATAACTATTATTTTGTTATTTATTGTATTATTTTCTGGAATCTTTTATTTAATAAATATTACGTTTAATTAGAGAGTAAAAATTATTTAATAATATCTATAGTAAATAATTTGACTCTGAAATCCATGACTACATTTGTTACTTCACGCGCTTAGCTTATTTGTGCTTCAATCTTTTCATATGTTGATATTTGATAATCAACTATATACTCTCGTATGTACGTGTGCGTGCGTGCGTGCGTGCGTGCGTGTGTGTGTATGTCTGTATATACAGGGTGTCTGGAATTTAAATATCAAAACTTCAGGAACGTGTAACGGATCAATAATCTAAGAAAAAAAGTCTTGTAGAAATAGGTTCGTTTTTGCTTCGTAAAACAATAATAATAATTCCGTTTTCAAGTAAAAACTTTTTTGTTTGTTTTTGTTTAATGGAACCACTTTTTTGACCCGATAGATTAAATGCAGCCAGATATATAGATTTTTTGGAGATTAACTTCATTTAGAAGACATGCACCTGCAGCAACGGATTGAAATATGGTTTCAACTCGATAAGTGTCCAACTTATGGCAGAACTACTCGAGCTTGGCTAGACAGACATTTTCCACAACGATGGATTAGACGTGGAGAAATAATATCTTGGCCATTCCGATCATCTGATCTGACACCACTAGACTTCTTTGTGTGAGGGGTCCTAAAGCAAGAAGTTTCGTCATCAATCAACTCAATAGAACAATTAAAAAATCAAATCGAGCCTGCAGTGCACCAAATATCACCAGATTAGTGTTTAGCTACAACACGAGCTGTTCCTACTAGTTGCAATGTTTGCATTGCTGTAAGAGGCCAACATTTTGAACAATATCTATATTAAGGCAATAATGCAATGATAAACTAAGAAAAAAAGTCCTATAGAAATATACTCGTTTTTGTTTCGTCTTGAAGAAAATCGCAAATAAGACGAAACAATTTTCATTTTTATACTTTCTCATTACTTACATTATATTTATTCACTTACTTAAGCTGCGTTCCGTTTCATGCATAATGTGCATGATGTATCATTTTATCCTTGTTTGACACTCGGCGAACGACATTAACCTTATATAATTATAATATATATAATTGTATCTATGTAAATTAATTATGCAAACATTTTTTATTTTTCTCTCTTATCAAAATCTATTATAATATTATAAACAAAATATTTAAAAAATATTTTAATAAAAGTAATATACAATTATAATAAAAATTATGTACTATGTAATTATAAGTTTATTTATATAGCAAGTTCGCAACATGCACACATAGGCATACATACATGTAATATGCAATGAAATATAATTATTAAATAGTTGTACATTAGTCTCTCTCTTATTTATAAACTAAAACTTATATATTATATTAAAT